CGAGGGTAGGATGTCAAAAATGAGCAAAAATTTATTGAAATGTTGAAAACGTAGGGTCCCCCCTAGGGAAAAAACGTGTGAGGCGTTTGGACGGTCAAAAAAAAGTGGGGCATACCCTAGTCTAACTTATAAGGCCAGGCCAGCTGCTACGCTATACAGCAAAACCTTTCTGACAAACCTTTCCACACCAGAAGCCGAAGGCAGGTGCATGGTTTGCTAATTCGACTCTGACTGAAGGTCAGACATCTGCTTGGTCATTTGTCCGGGCTTGCGAACTGTGCGAACCTTTTGCGCTGCCTTTTCTAGAGTCTCGAAGTCTTCCTGATCAGCATCGTCGCCCTCGTCATCTTCTGCTTCCGTGACTTTCCAGTCCTTAGGCGTCGCACTTGCGTTGAGGAATGTGCTGCGTTTTTCGAGATACACCCTCTTTCCAACTTGCAGCCTGTGGGTAGCAGGGAGAGCTGCAGCAAGCTCAACACGAGTTTAGGCTGGAAGGGTGCAGGACGCATAGCTTGCAATGAGGGAGTGTGTGTTCGACGGATTGTCAAAGTCATCACCTAAGCATGTATGCTCAGAGCCGCACGTAGTGCACCGGGACAGGCCTTCGTCTCAATCCACCTGAGACAACCATCGAACCACCAGCAGCCGCGAACATCGCGGTAAAACGCTTTACTGCTAGTTACCTCATGCTTAGCGCTTAGCAAATGAGCCGGGGCCTCAACCTTCCTGCAGTGCATGCGCTTCATGTCTCAACCTTTGAACTCTCAAATATCTACTACATCCAAGCCTCGGAAGCGAAGTTATGTAGCTGCACCTGCCCATGACCCCAAACCCTAAACCCCACAGGACAAACCTTGAAGCCTCAAAGCGTAAGACTCAAAGTCCAACCGAGGCCTGCGCCATCCGATCCGGCAGTTGGCGGCGGAGGCGGTCTTAGCAGGCTTCGAGCGGATAAGAGATATACCGCACGGGATCTACAAGGGTACTGGAATCTAGCAGGCATACTCTAGGGCCCTATAGGGTGTAAATACAGGGGACTATAGAGACTGTGAATTTCGCATCTAATGGCTACTGACGAGTTGCTGGATGGAAAATGAAAACAAGATCGTGATCATCTTCCAGATGCAGTTAACGGCTGAGTCTGGAACGCACTCATCGTGACCTCAGGGGTCCGTTCTGTCAGCAGGTTGGTCTCGCTGGTGACACAGATAGTATTGGCAGCATGCTCTAAAACATTGGTGTTGCAAGCTGGGCTCGTCGCGGGCCCGCCAAGGTCTCTGCTGTGCAACTTTTGGGCCAAGACATGCCAAAAAACGATGGTGCAATCGATGGGGGAGAGCAGAAGCTGAGGGGGTTTGGGACCAGGACAACCACGCAAAGCGTGTCGTTCATATGGCGCCATTTCAAGTCTAACCATTTTTGACCGAATTCTCTCTGAAGTGCCTCCAAACCTTCAAACTCCATCCCACTGAATGCATGAACAGGCGCCGCCAAGATTCTTGATGCCGAGGCAGTGCAACAGAAAGCAAGTGCCCAAGGCCAATGCATTGGGCTTTCATTCGCACCCGATGCGCAAGCTTTTCATGAAGGGCAAAAGACGCATCCCAGGGCTCATGGTGTGTTTTTTGTCTCCAACGCTAATTGACTGTGCATAGTCTGGGCGTCTTATCATACATAAACTGCGAAAGCCCCAAACCTGGCTTCAATCCATAAGCGTTGCATCATGCGGCCTTGGGTGATGCCCTTGAGGTGAGACCGGCACACTATCCGATCGGAACTTTCGGGGAGGGGACATCCTTTGACATTTGGAGTTTTGGACTGTGCCCCTGCACCTACTGTGAATAACCGTTGACGGCATCTATGCGTAACTAGCAGCTTCTGCTTCCTTCAACTTCCTGCGCGAAGCACTGTGATTGGAGACTTTCTTGATGAGCCATGGTAGCTGCTGCCTCCCCGGAACTCCGCCTATGCAGAGACAGGCAAGGCCTTCTCAGCCTGAGGTGCTTGTGAAGCTCAATTCGGAGGGTGTCCTTCCATGTCCAGACGGACACCAATTGGATCGGCGCTGGACAATGGATAGCTGGAGTTCAAGAAGGGCTCAGCTTAAGCATCCATGCAACTCCTACAGGATTTTAAAGACCTGCAAAGCCTTACTGCGCACCTACAACCATGCAGCTGGCCTTTGTCAGGCGGGAACCGGCGCCTCTTTCGGCATGCACGACCATTTAAGCGGCTTGGTTGCTACATTGTCGTCGTGATCAGAACATATCGAACCATGTTCCTGCCATAACTTTGGTGACCGTCGACACGTCAGTCTTCGTGTGCCTACAAGCGTGTTCTACATCACTCAATGTCTCCTCTTAATGCCATTGTTGTTTCGGTGGCTGTTGGTGGTGATGGTGTGGAGGATGATGATGATGATGATGATCATGATGATGTTTAATGAACCGTTGTTGGTCTACATGTTCAGCAGGTCACCAATACGATTGTCACGATTGTAGCTGCGACATTGCACATGTCTCAGAGCCGGACCGGAGTTTCCATGCGGGCCCTTTTTGGAGCGTGGCCTGAGAATGACAGCACTGGCCCGGACATCTCGCCACTGATCTCAATCTGGCTGCAGTAGTATTGTTCCCACTGATCAATGACTGGCGAGAAGCCGACAGACAATGCTTGTCGACCATAGCATCCTCCACAGACACGCATCCCGCACTCCATGTGTATGAAAACGTCATAGGGGCCGGCTCAAACGTGCTCCAGCTTGCTGGTTGCTGTCCTGCATGCAGAGGTCGCGGTTTGTCCGGCATTTCTGTCCATGGTTCCATTCATCTGGCAGGGTTGAACTCTGTTCTGGTGCTCCCTGGCTACTAGACTCCTGAATGTCCTGCACCTTGGGCGGCCACACTTCCACCTTATCACGCAGCCCCGAGGGCAAGAAGTACCAAAAGAGCTCGAATTCGGATGCTAGGTCTGCCCCAACGACCCGAAAGTCAAATGCTCTAAACTCCACAGCCCCCCGGCTGTAGAACTTAGACTGATCGGAGCGTTGCTCGTGCTGTTGCAGCGTCTGAATGCGCTTCAAACTAGCATGCGCTACCAAATGTTCCCTATTATTCGGCTGTTTGCATGCTCTCATGTTGCCGTACTTCTCGACTCAAACTGCTCATCTTGTTATTTCTTGTCACTGCCTCCCTGTGTCGGGATTGCTCTCACGCTACCGGTCATTGCCACGGTAGGCCGATGAATGCTTTTAGCATCGGTGGTAAGTGTTTGCTCCTGTTTTCGTCTTGAAACAGTAACAGCGGCTTATTTCTCCATCCCACCATCGTCCCAAAGCCACGCAGTTCCTTTGGCGCAGATGGCAATCACTCTCCCTGCAAGTTCTCAGCTTCGTTTCGCAAATCGTGAATTTGTTTTGCCGCTCTCTACTACGACGACGACGACGACTACTGCTACTACTACTACTACTAGGTGACATGCTTCGAAATCTCGTTTACTTGTAAGAGGATCTGAGGCTCAAGCCCCCTTGGCTGCCGCACCGGCGAGGAATCTCCTGACTTCCAGGAATGCTCTGATGACTACCTCCAGCTCGCCATCTAGCAAGCTGTCAGTCTCTATGGAGGAGGGTGAGGGTGACAGCCCAGAGACAATGCCCTGACGAAGAATCTGAAATTCTGCATCCTATCGCAAAATGCCGAATGTGCGCGGAGTCGGTGTCCAGGCAGTGAGGATTTTGGAATACAGTACTTATCACAACAAGACGGGCTTTTTTGGCACCCGCCTCGCAAGCCACAGCAAGCACGGATAAGCACGGCAGGCGCTCTCTACTCTTCTTCCTCTGAGCGTAAGGGACCGTTGAGGTCCCCCAACCACCAGTGAAACTAGTGTCTCTCTCTTCTTCTTCCAGGCATAGGGGGCGTGTCAAGCCACCCTGGCGCTTCGCCCTCCCACTTCTCGCGGCCACTGGGGGTGTGAAAGTACAAGATGGGATAGTGGTTGAGACGGCAAGGTTGCAATAATGTCAACATGTGCCGTTCAGTCATCTCGCTCTCACTGCCTCTCTTCTCCATTTCTCTCTCTTTCGCTCGCTAGGACTATGGTCTCTCTCTCTCTCTCTCTCTTTCTCTCTCTCTCTCTCTCTCTCTCTCCAGGGCATGGGGACAGGTCAACGTCCCCGGGCCTATGGTCTCTCTCTCTCTCTCTCTCTCTTCTTCTTCCTTCGGGTTAGAGGAGCTGGTAAGGCTCCCCGGCCCATGGGGCCCCCCAACGTTCTGGGGCTTTCGGGGAGAGCTATACTCTCTCTCTCTCTCTCTCTTTCTCTCTCTCTTAAAATGTAAATAAGAGTGTTCCACCGTGCCGTTGCGTGTGCTAGAACAAGTCATAGCTGTCATAGCTGCCGAAAGAGCTGCCATCCTTTTTCTTGCTGGAATCAATACTCTTGCCATTACACCTGTAGTATCTCACTGGTTTAGCGTTACCGCCGCTTCGACCACGCGAGTGGCACTACCAAGTCTCCTGTAGCGGTTCCAACTCTTGTCGCAGGTGGCACGAGCGACGGAGTGCGGGGTGCCTGGAGAAGCAAGCTTATGCTCTCACACTCGCACACAGGGTTAGGAGTTGACAGCGGCCTGGATGGAATTGAGGGGCTTCTGTCTGGATTTACCTGCTTGGTTGCGTATATGCACAAGGCATGCCAGCAATGCAGACTATCATACCATGCTGTAATCTTTTCAGCTACGTGGTTACATTCAATTCAGGCATGCATGCCGATCACAACAAGAGCGTGAGAGTGAGAGTGCTTCAAATCCTGATTTGGTTGGAGTGCGATTGGTTAAAGAACTACTTCGTCCGTGATGGACCCGGGCTTGCGGGCTGTGGGCTAGTTTCATCGTTGTGTGATTGATAGGGTTGCTCCTGGATGCTTGGGATCGAAAGGGATGCTTGTAGGCTGTGTTCAAATCGAAGACTTCTGACACCCATAACTACAGGAGTGAGACTGAATTAAACTTGACTGACCTGAGGATGAAAAACCTTCACCGTGCACTACACTTTGAGCCCTAGAAAGCTTGGAGCCAGAAATGCTGTTGTGCAAAACCTATGTGCAACTCAAGACGCTGGAATGTTCCCAGATGTGCCGGACAACCATCACTGAGGCCTTTGAAGGTTCGTGCAGCGCACTTTGACTTAACAAAAATGCAAATTCAATCTGACCTGAACTGCGGGCGCTCCTCTTGTCGTCGCAGCCCCCGTCGTTGGAATAATAGTATGCAGTCAGGGATCGGCTGTTAGTGTAGATGGTGGCATGAACGAAATGCATGGCCGCAAGTGCTGATCCTGATGCTTGATCAGGGTTTGCTGGACACCCCAGTCGCCGACATATGGCAATACGGGAGAAACCTCTGAACAGGCTGATCTCAACTTTCATGCACCGTGAAAAAGATGGCATGAAACTGAACGTCCATCCTCCCGCGGGTCGGCCTGACACGTGAGGCTTCGGAGGAGCTGGTGCAGCCTGGTAATCTAAGCAAATCACCAAATCTGCTAACCGAGACATTGTCTTCGCAGATTGCGCTCAAGGGTTGTGCTGCCACCTATGTGCGACTGTTTGGGGGAGAAGGGAGGCTGAAGATCACTGGCTTTTCCCAGCGCGTTCAGGACATTTCAGGATGTCCAGAAACTTTCTAGACAAGCCTCAAAGCTGGCAGTTGCTGGCACATGCCAGGCATAAAGAGCCCGAGTTCCACCTGCGATATCTGCAGCAGGCGCAGCCAACACCGCCGACTCATTGCTTCCAGAGGTACCAGAGGTACTACCAGTACTACCACTTACACTCGTCAGCCCAAGACGCCGAGCGGTGTGCAGCACTTCGTTCGCGTGCGCTGGTGTGAAGGGCGGTTTGAATAGGAGCGTGACGTGGGGCACACAGTCTGGGTCCATCGGGAGACCTTCAGACTCCATGTTGAGGGACATGGTGAGAAGGGCATCCTCGGCATAGACGAAATGTCCTCCTCGTACTCTCCAGATGGAGCCTTGCTTGTGCAGCGCGGCTTCCACGCCGTGGCATCGAAGAGCTTCCAGGACGGCCCTGTAGGCGACTACAGGCAGGTGCGGATCAAGATGGTACAAGGACAGACATGTTCTACAAAACGGCAATGGCAGCTTCAGAGCAGAAAAAAACAAGGTCAGCCCGGGATAAGTACTAGTGCTGTAGCGTACTTCAGCGGCCCTGCGCCGCACCCTGCATGACGAGCCATGCGATGCCCGTATAGCGACCACAGTGGAACCCCGCCCAGGCCAAACGCCTCCGGCCCCGAGCCACACGCCGTATCGCCCTTTTTGTGGCCCAGTGGAACACCCCCGCATCGCGAGCCAACCGGCCCGTCGCGACCTTCAGCGGCGACTCTGAGACCTCGTATCGCGACCGGCACCGGTGCAAGCTCCTCTCGAGACGGAACCTCTCGAGCCCCCGTAAAGCGACCGGTGGACGCGACCCCCACCGATGGAACCTCTTTTGCAGCACCCTGTTATCGCGCGACTGTGCGACCCGCCGCGCCGCACCCGTATGGCGACCCCCACCGCGGTGGAACCAGGTTCCCATCGGCCCCACTCCAGCTCGCACCCCGCCGGACCTGTTGGATGCCGAAGACTCTAAACGCTTACGTTGCTGCGCCGCGCCCCGTATCGCGGCCACGCGGTCGGAAAATCCCAAGGAGAACCCAACCCCCGAGGGGTTTTGGGAACCAGGTCACCTGGAACCTCCCAAAAAGAAGGTTGTCATGTGCAGCGGTTGCGGCCAAGCGAAACTCTGCGAGCCCACTCGCAGGTTCCCAAGTTTCTGGAGATCCTGTCGGCAGTGAGGCTCCAGGTCACCAGAATAGCACCGGGCATTCAGAGGAGGGACGACCAGTGGCACTTGCAGCGTATTCTCAAGTGCAGAGGCGAAGGCTCCAGCCAGTTGGGCAAGGCAAAGATCGTGGGGTTCCAGGTTCAAGCCTCACGACACTAGATTGCAATCGTCCTTTAGATTGTCATCCCTGTGGTCTGCTGCGATTCATGGTGGTAGCAGCGCGAGCAGCCGCAGCGAAAGAAGACAGTAATTAACACCATTTTCTGTACCAGTTAAACAACAAGCTCTTTTTCTAGGTGCCGAAAAGGGTCTACTGAATTCAAGACACAGAGACCCGGGTAGTGGGGTATCCGGAGCTGCCAGCTTGGGCCTGGAGCCCTGGATGCAATGACACGAGCGTTCTCGAAGTAGTGTCCATCTCCTCGCAGGGCCAGGAAGTCGCCCCTGTTGAACTCGTAAAGACAACCCGACTTTTGCTCACTCCCTGCCTACCACGCTTCTGGCCGGAGTTGTTTGTGTTTCCTCTTCTGGCTCGAAATAGTATTTCGGCACCTCTTCTCGAAACAACGGAGGGCGGTCTTTAGATCCCTTCCAGCTGCGCCCCTTTGGGAAGTCAGCCTTGGGATAAACCGTCCTTGGTTCACGCGAACCCTTGGAACCTCCCTTCCAGCTCGTGTCCCAATACCCAGCTCTACCCAAGCCTGGGAAGGCATCTGCAAGCTGCAAGGCCTCTTCCTCCTCTTCCAGGCTGCGGGATGTTGCGCTGTCTCCTGGAGGGCCCTGCACCACCTGCTCAGTTGCCGTTACGGCTGGGTCCTGCTGCTTGGTGAACTCCGGCTTCGAGGCCTCCTTCTCAACACGAAAGGGTAACTCCTCCATTGGACTTTACTGCACATGTTTCGAAGCCTACGGCAGCCTACTGGCCGAGACTTGACGCAGAAACAACAAACTGCTCAGAGCGAGCAGCTCCTGGGAGCTTTGCCGGGCTTTTCGGATGCCTTTGTGCTGCAATGCCACAGCCGGAGGCACTGGTTCAGCAGCCGGGGGCATAGGTGCTTGGGGCCGGGAGGTGCTGAGCCTGGGATCATACGAATGTATGCTGCATTGACGCTGGCTCTGGATTGGTGCTGTGCTGACTCTTGCAGAATCTTATGGAACATCATGCGTTGTGTAGAGAAAACCAGGGCGTCTTCGTAACAATAGTAAGCGTGTCGCATTCGTCAAGTCTGCATCTGGTCTTGGGCAAAAGTTGCAGCAGCGCGATCTGGCACCACAAGTCATTCATTAGATCCTTTGCCATCGCCGTTGGGAAGGCAGTCTCTCGAACACAAAGTATAAGCCGAACGGCAAAAATAACAGCCATAACAGCAAGACTGACAGCAATCGGAGAGGCAGTCAGCAATTTCCCAATGCCCATGGTAAAGGAAAGACAACATTTAACGACGTCTCCAAAGTCTGGAAGCACCTAACGCACACGGAGCTGAAGACTTCGCCGGCCTTGGCTTCTGCTGAGGCTGTGCCGTCGCCGTTTCGGGGACTGGCCTTCGGCCGAAATGCCATGTCACTGCTTTCTGTGTCTAAAAAAATTTAAGTGCCTGCTAGGCGTGCGAAACTACTCACTCTTTTCCTTCAGATTCCCTGGTAAACTTCCATGTCAATCACTTCCCGAAGCTGCACGGCTCTCGTCATTCTCGTTCGATGCTTTACGCTCTCACAACTCGGACAAGCCAGGCGAGGTCTCAGGGTGCGAAGTCGATGTGAAACCAGAACAACACCCCACTTTAAAGAAAGCCGCCGGAACCAGCTCGGGTTTGGAGTTTAGGCTGTGCAGCTTGGACGTTACGCAGAGGGTTTAGAGTTTCGATTGGAGTTTGCGGCATTCGGGTTCAGAGATAAGTCTATCCGTGACGCGCTGACTCCGACTTGAAGGCTGCAGCATAACTTCTCCCTCAGTCCTATAACAAAGTCTGTAACAACAACCTAGTTCTGTGAACAGGAAATCGTGAAGGTGCAGCAGCCACAGCGGCCGCTTAGCTTTGTGGCGACCAGTCGTTCCGGGAGAACTTTGAGTCTCTGGACCAAATGGATCTGTAGACACATCCGCCTCCATGATCTCTCTTGAGATCATCGCCTTCAGCTCCTCGATGGTGCAGTTATCCAAACTTTCCTGTCAACGATTTTGACTCTGTGCTTCTTGGCATCGTCGCCACTGCAAGATTTCTCCAAGACATGCAGTCTTTTCAGGATCCTTGCAATCATGTCTTTCCTATTGGGCGGGATCTACATCAGACAGCCCCGTTTTGAATGTTATGTTCGGCCTAATGCCCATTGCCTGTTTGCCTGAACCCTGGCTCTCGAGTGCAGGCTATACAAGCTAAATATCGGTTATGCCTGGCTGAGATTTAAATGCATAGCCTATCATGTTCCGCATGCAGTGACCGACTTCGGTCCACATCTCAACTGTCATCTACACTGTATTTACACGCTCACCAACCTGCATCTCCACACCGTCTGACGACAGCCCGGCAAAATCACCGACAGTTGAGCATCGCTGTGGTATGACCTCGGGTTTAGTTCGTTTACTTGTAGTCTTTGAACCCTGCTGGGCAAGCATGTGAGCAGACTTGCTCCAATCGGCAAGACCCTTCGGTCTACGAGAAGTTGAACTTTAACTGTCTAGCACTTCGGCAGGTTCACCCCAGCAAGAGAGCTCATCGACTGATGTGCAATAACATGTCATGAAATAATGCTGTAATTTTGTAATGCTGGCCTCGTTGGCCGTCGCACCTGTGCAGGACTAGCAGGTTGAAAGCTTGAGCGATGACCTGACTGCAACACTTCCCAGCAAAAGATCTATGCTTAGCATGCTGGAAGACTTGCTATGTCGCAGCCTGCAGCATCGCCGCTTTGAGCCATGCTCTCCTGGTCAGCCGAACGTTTTCCGCTCGATGCAAGATGGACAGGATATCTGCATCAGTACAGACACCAGGAGTCACTGCCACTTACACACCAGAAAGTCTGATGAGTCTGGAAACGTGGGACTTCCGAAACAAAACTGTAGGTACAACACCAGCACGCCGACCAAGAGAAGCCAACACACCAAACGGATTTGGCTCGAACGAAACCGTCACTGTCCTTCCCACTCCCCGATCAACAGCCCTTAGCTGAAGACTGTGGGCTCTGACACCGATTCTACAAAGCAACGTGCGCTGTGCCCGAAATCCTGCAATTCTGAGAAACTTCAAAGCTCGCACTCTCTCTCTCTCTCTCTCTTGCTTGCTTGCTTGCTGGGGGTTTGGGGTCAAGACCCCCGGCCCGAAGGCCAACCCCTCCACGGTCCGCGACTGTGTCTTCTGCGACCCCGTTTTGGGGTGTTGCAAGTGTGTTCTCTCCAGTCAAGCACAGTCAACCCTCCCCCAACAAACACCCCTGCAAAGACCGTGACCGTGTAGTTACACCCCCACTCTGTGCTTTCCTGGGTCCTCCACACTGCCTTCTACGAAGATCCCCCAACAAAGCTCCACTTTGTGAAGGGGTGCGGGGTGTGCCAGTCCAGGCGAAAACAGTGGGAACACCAGACGTCAAGCCTGTTTGCAATTAATTTCCTGGCTCCCCCACGGACATGGACTCTACCGGGTTAACCCAACCTACCTGCCTCCCCACCTGATCCCGAACAGAACCTTGCAGCGTCACTACCTGTCACCTTCCCACCCCCGAAGCCTCTACTCTCTGAGAGGGTTTGATACTATTCCGTGTTTGTTGACTCAGTCGGCAGGGCAGCACACAGCGTACAGAAAAGGACGACAACAGCAACTGCCTCAACCCAACAGTGCCTAGTTGGCCCCCTGCCTTATTCATGGGGCACGGTCCCCTTGCGGTGTTGCGAACTTCTACTCCCAGCTATGGCTTCTCATTCCCCCCTTCAAGGGGGTTGCCACACATCCAACTAAGACACCAACTCATGATGAGAACAAAACAACTTCGGGAGCGAGATGCCGTAAGCTGCGTTCCTCACCCTCACTCGCTGACATTGTAAACATGAAGCCCCCAGTAGAGGGTGGATATAGACAAGCTGACTATTCCCAGACCCAGATACTATCAGTCATCATTGTCGAGCGAGCTTGGGCTTGTGAAGGCGCGTCTCCTACGGTCCCTGGACTCACTTGGACCTGTTTTGTGGTCCCCCTCAGATCTCGGTGCGGCTGATCGTGTAAAGGGAGCTGTCGAACTGGCCGCCCCGCTCGTCAGGTCCATGAGTGTCTCTTCTGCCCCCTCGTCTGCATAGGGGGTCCCCCTGAGGCTTTGGCCCCCCTGGTCTTCGTTGGCCGTTGGTTGTGCAGGACGGCCTTGTTCTTGTTGGGTGTTTTCTTCGTCACTGCTGAGGAGTTGGACTGACTCTCCCCAGTGGGACCGGATCCAGTCCCCCAGATGTGCGAGCGCGTTGTCTCCCAACTTCCGCATGTCCCCGTCGAGGAAGGGAAGGAGCTGGCGTAGATAGCATTGCGCCTTGTAGATGTGTAGGGCATCTGGCGGATCTTGGTGAGGATGTTGAGCTTCCTCTTGCTGAGCTATAACATCTGCTGGGTGTACTTGCTCAGCTTCTCCCCGATGTGGATATATCCCCACTAAGACCCCCACTCCTGTCGCTGCTTCATCCAAGAGGTTGCGTAGTCTGGGTAGCGTGTCCCCCACGTCTGGTTGAGCACGTTGAAGTTCTCCCGCATGGTCCGTCGCCGTAGCCACCGTTAATAGCGCCAGTGCTTCTTCTGCCGCGTCCGTAGCCCAGTGGGTAACTTGCCAATTGTAGCTATGTCTCCCCCTGGTAAGAAGCGCCATGCCTGCTTGTACGAGTTCCAGCAGCTCCAGCAGTTCCGCCATGGAGGGTGGCTCCCCCTGTTGTGCGCTTTCTTCCATAATCCCCACTGTGAGCGCTCCGATCTCGAAGGCGTTGGGCGTTGGTAGTGGTTTTCCCCCGCGGTTTGTCCCCGGCCTCCGGATGAGATGGAGTTGCGATAACCTCGTGGCTGCGGCTGATAGGTAATCGACGACCCCCGGCATTCCAACGTCGTTGGCCATCCCCATTGCCTCCGTGATGAGGTCCAGCGCTTCTGCTGCCGCGTCGGCGCGTCTTTGTCCCCCTAGCTCTTCGGCGTTGGGGGCGTGTTCCGCCGCTGCTTGCGTCTCGGAGGTGATGGATGCCAGGAGGCGGACGGGACTGGGGGTTTGCTGTTCCCCTCCAGTAACGGTCGAGGTGCGGTTGTCTCCCCTTCTGGATGGGCTTCTGCTCCTCGCTGGTGTTGTTGGGGTCGCGGGTCTGGCCGGATCTTCCCCTTGTTGAGGTGTGGTAGTTGTCGAGGTGGGAGTACATGAGGTGTCTCCGGCTGGTGGTGCGGGGGGAACCGCCCCCGTGGATCTTCCCCTCAGCGAGGTCTGCATTAAGGCAGTAGGTTCGAAGTCTTCGGGGTGTTCTGGTCTTGGTGGTTGTCACCGGCTTGCGTTGTGTGCCTCCCCATGGCTGCATCCCTCGCGTTCCCCTCGTGGTACTGGTAGCCTCCCCGCAGAGCCGGATGCTCGTCTTCTTGTCCCCCTCGTACTCGTTCTTCTGCTGGTAGGTTCATGCCGTCGATGTATTCAGCCAGTCTCTCCCCTCTCAAGAGCAGCCATATTGCATCTGCTTCGCATTGTCCGTTGGTGCGATAACTTTCGGGGAACTCATGCTCGAGCACTGAGAGAAGCTGGAGGGCGCATCGATGTCCCTCTTCTGTGTCCCCCGCCGGGTCAGGCCCCGGCCGGTGGAGGCGGCAGAGTAGCTGGTGGACACACGCACGGCGACATTGTAGAGGCATGTTGTTGAGTTCCCCCCTGATCTGTCTGAGGAGATCGGTCCATGTTTGGGGTCGCTGTACATGGTGTTCTCCTCGTTCTCCCCCAGTTGCTGCATAAGGCCCATCTCCTCCCCGTAACCTTCAAAGAGCTCCTGCGCATTGGAAGACGGCCTCTGCGAGGGGAGTTCTCCCCGGATGTCCCCTAAGAGGTTGTTATGGGCTGGGACCACAATCTGGAGTTGTTGTGCCAGTCGAAGAAGGTCATCTTGTAGTGTCGCTGGATCCATGGTGAACTCGTCGTGTGCCGCGTCGTAGTTCATGACGATTTCATCCAGGATGTTCACCGCTTCCATGAGCGCGTCTCTCCCCTCTGCTATCCCCGTGCTGTCTCGGAGTCTGATAGAGGCGCCAAAGTCCGCGACCACATCCTCCAGCAGTTCCCCCACCTCCGATAGCTCATTTCTCACAGACGTGGCATGGAGCGTGTCCCGGAGGATGTGCCGCACCACTTCCACCAAGGTCGCTGCCATTTGGGCCGGGTTAATGCGTCTTAACTCCCCCCTTCCTGCTGTGATAGCTGCCGTCGGCGAGGTTTCAGCCCCTGTCCTCCATCGTGGCAGAACCCCCCTGGCAAATTGCTGCTCTTCGGGTAGGCGTTGTGCTCTTCTAGGGGCCGGGTAGGTATGCGACGTTCTCCC